CACACACACACACACACAGACACAGACACACACACACACACACACACACACAGACACACACACACATACACATATTAGACCGTTACAGTAAGTCACAGCACTCCCCTCCTTCTCTTTTGTGTTTGTTATTCTCTTGTAACACCTCTAATGTTCGGCCTATATGACCTAATATTCCGCCCAGAGGAACCCAGTTAGCAACCCCCTCTTTTTCTCTTTCTACCTTTGTCTCCCTCTCTCTCTCTCTCTCTCTCTCTCTCTCTCTCCTGTTCACACACACACACACACACACACACACACACACACACACACACACACACACACACGAACACGCACTTACTCACTGAAATGTATGTAAGAAGGAAGCTCTTTAGTTGTTTTTTTTAAATTGTGAGCCAACCTTGCGACCGTTGTTGTATTAACGGTCGGTTTTCAACGCGCTCACAATCGACGCGGGTCCCCGTCTTTCTTTCTTTGCCGGCTGGAATTATTTTTATTACAACTCTTGGGGGGGGAAAAATTCTTCTCTTTTGAACTCCGGCAAAACGAAGAAGATTGCCTCTTAACCATTCCAAGACGGATTTTTCAACGATCTGTAAAGACAGATGTTTAAATTTCCCCCCCTCTAAGCATGTTAAAAAAAAGTCTCCTTCAAGGATGCAAAAATGTGCAACTGCTAAAAAGTCTGAGATTAATCAAAGGCAACGCTTTTTTTATCTTCTTTTTTGACGTAAGCTGTACCCGACCCTTTTTTGGGAGTGGGGGGGTTGAATCCTTTCGCGTATGGGCTTTTTCCTCGGTGAGCCTTTTCTATTTAAAGAGGAATATGCATACAAAGAAGAAGATAATTCACCTGTGAAATAGGATCAAGCAAGACCGCCTAAGAAGAAAAGGAATCTGTGCAGCGGAGTGGCTAGAATTTAATGTCTGCTGAGGCTCACGGCCGTTTTATGACCAGCGGCATTGATTTCCCCTTGTTTGTGCGCCTAAATCTCTCTCTCTCTCTCTCTCTCTCTCTCTCTCTCTCTCTCTCT